GCCAGCAGGGTCTGTGGCTTTCCTGCCCTCAGCTGTCGCCAGTGTCTTCACAGCCTCCTGGATGTGGGGCCTCAGCGCAGAGAGAGAGATGAGCAGAGCTTCCTGGAACAGACCCGGGTGTCAGGACCGCTGCTCCCTGAGGAGCTCCAGGCAAGCCGAGGTGTCACCGTGGGGAATGACCCGTGGGACACGTGTCACTGCTCTGTGCACACAGGCCTTGTGCCCCACCACACCGCTGGCACCTGCCCTACCTCTGTCCGGATGGTTCTGCTGCCCTGGCTGGGACACGTGTTCAGGTAGAAGTCAAACAGGACACTTGGGTCAGTGACCTCCAGGTTGGGGTCCACGTCAACTCCAGCTTCCAAACCCTCGAGACCTCCAAACACAACAAGGGCATGTCTAGGGGAGAGCAGAGGGACAGGGTGATGGGGAGACTGGCTCTTACCCCTGCGCCAAGGCAGATGCTTTGGGTGGATTAAGAATGGTCTTCACGTAAGTACTTCTCTTAACTTGAGCTGCAAGAAGCAGACTCATTTTTTCTGCTCATGTGGGTCTGTGTTTGAGCCTGCGCTGCTGAAGCAGGGAGCTGTGGCCCTTGATGATGATTCCCAATGCAACTGCCTCCCTAACAAAGCCCCGCAGCTCTGCACCAATGTGACAGTCCCTTCTACCAGCTCCAGAAAAATGGGAAAGGAATTGTCCTTGTGTACTTCCCCCACCTTGTTCAATGCAGAGGAATGTGCCTTGGTGTAAGAGTGAGCAGCAGAGCGCAGGAGGCAGCCTGCAGGTGAGTCTGCACTTGTATCTAGGAGCATTCCTGAAGAACACCAAGGCCACATTGCAGCTCTGCTGCCTGCACCAGGCCTCGCTGTGGGCTTGAGTGGGGCCAAGAGGGCAGGACACAAACCTGAAGGGAGGGAGAGTGGCCTCGTCCACGGAGCTGCCCCGCTCTGAGGTCCCGATAGAGAGATCGTAGCCTTCCTTGAAGGGGCACTCCGAAAACACAGCACCTGGGAAACAAGCACAATATGGGGCTATTTGCGTGGTTCCCTTGCCCGTGCTGTGTGCCTTCTGGACAGGCTGGAGCACTCCATGGGTGCGTGGTGCCAGCAGAAGGAACTGCTTCTCAGTGCCAGCACTGCATCAGGAGGCAGAAGAATGATTCCTCTTCCCCAACATAGTTCCCTTGCTGCAGGAATGTCTGGCACCCTTCTCCACTGCAGCACCTTTCCCTCAAAGCTCGAACAGGTGCCAGGAGCCATTCCTTGACTAACAGCTTATGATTTTCCTTGGAGCTCTATCCAACCGGAAGACAGGAAGAGGATTTTTGCAGGGCTCTTGAGCTCTGATGTCACTGCTGGCTTTGGTGTGAATGAGCGGGAGGTAGTTACTGTGGAAATGGAGACGCACTGGCTGGAGACGGAGGGCACTACTGCTGCAGCGTGGACATCTGGAGCGATGGTGAGTGGAGGCACAGGGCAGACTGGTGGGTCACTGGGCTGATCATGCCCCCAGCTTTAGCCTTTACATCTGACAGGAGCGAGCGCAGAGAATCCCTGCAGGTACTCACTCAGGCAGGAGGCAAGGCGGACGCTGTAACCCCAGTACAAGCCCGAGACTGTCCGGGGGTGCTGCGAGGACACCACGGTGCCTTTCCGCACTTTAGCTTCTGAAAGGGAAGCAAAGAGACCAACAGCCCCGGTGAGAGCTGGGTTTGAGCAGCCACACGCAGCAGTTTGTGCTGGAGCAGAGCACTGACTTCGTATTACAGCAGTAATGTGAAGCTGTCATGGGGAAGGGACCAACTCCTGCAGGACTGAGGCTTACAGATGCTGCTGGAGCAGTGGATTACCTGGCTTCTGGGGCTCCTCCAGGCGCACGGTGACTCGCAGACCAGGGTTCAGCTGTCTGTCGATCTGCACCTCCTGCAGCGACAGTCACCATCAGCAAGAGACATTTCTAGAACTGGGGAAGGTGTGAAAGGAAGGGAGCCCTCTGAGGAAAGGAAGGTCTCTTCTGGCCTGGGCCGGAATGAGGAGCTCTGTGGTCAGGGCTGGTGTGGTTCATGCAGTGCAGAGCAGGCTCAGGGTGCCTGGGTCAGCAGTCTGAGACCTATTTTGCTGCTCAAAGGTTCAAATCCAGCAGTGAAGCAATGACATGCTGCAACGGGCAGGCCTGCCACAGCTTGGGAAGCTACAAACATGGACAAGCCAGAAGGGACAAGATACCAACAAGCACTTAACCCTGTGCCAGCCCGCTCTGGCCTTCAGAAACCCAGCAGCACCCACCCTGCCTGCTTCAAATCTGCCAGAGAGACAGGGGAAACGGTTCTGGGCCCTGTGGGTTACAGACATACCTTCCTCATCCCACAGTTGACAAAAGAGCCTCTGCCTGGCTTAGTTGGCCGGTCCAACACTACACCTTCCCGGTACTCTGAGTCCTCATCCACCCGCATGTGGTGGGGGCTGTCCAGGGGGTTGAGCAGCCCTAGAACAGCACAGAGGAAAGCAACTGCTACGGAGAGGATGCAAAGAGCTGTGTAAGTACAACTGCTCTGCTGCCCTTTCCCTCTCTGGTCCAGCACACCACAGCTTGCACTGTGGAGTGGGGAAGAGTTACGCAATTCTGTGCATTCCATGCAAAACGAGCAAGAGCTCGGGACATGGAAGCCAACAGCTTGGGACAGACACACTTGAATCATTACCTGCAAACTGCAGATCCTCATGTTTTGGAAAAAAGGATTTCCTCAGGTACCTGTTTGTCAGAGGAGGTTGAAATGTAAAACCAGTTTTTACTGAATCCAAGCCTCAATTCTAGTCCTGTTCTGGCTTAAAGGAGCTGACTAGAGAGAAAAGCTCCGTAGTCAGAGCTCCCTCGTGTCCCAGATGTAACCTCTAATGTATCATATAGGTTCTAGCCTGCATTCACTGCCCTTGTAGTTAAACTCCTGAACCAGAAGCGTGGAGCAACGAGCTCCCGTGTTCCTGCAGAATTACACAATATACACAGAATTTGCCTCCTACCCCCAGAGCCTCCTGCATGAGGTACAGCAGTCGGTTCTGATGCATGGTCTGACTTACTGAGGGCACTCCAAGTACTGCAGGATCCGAGCCAGCTGCACGCAAGCCTTGCCTCTCTTCCCAATTCCTTCAAAATCCCCCTCCACACTCCTGCAAGAGAAAGGAAGCAGTTTGTGAACTCAATGCGAGACTGGCCAGGTCTCCGGAAGATGAAACCTTGCTCTTTAACCTGAAAATAGCAGCACACCCCTCACAAAAAGGCTGCTCAAGAGATAGAGGCTGCTACCAGATCAGATTTGGAACTCTCTCTGAGCCATGTCTCTCTCTCAGGTTTGTTTTTGACCTTTGTGTATTGACACAAAACACTTCCCGCAGAACAAGACCTTACTTCACATCCTCTCCGTGCTCGTCGAACACTACGATCTCGTCCACGCAGAAGACGGCACAGGCACGAGCGACCTGCCCCGCGAGGTACGTCCGCAGCTCCAGCGACTGGGCGTTGTTCAGGATGGAGCCCGGCAGGGCCACGCTCAGCGTGTAGCGCCGCCCTGGGGAGCAGAGCGCGGTCAGAGCGGGGACCGCTCCGCGTGCTGGTTTATTTACTGTGCTGCTGGGAAAGAGCAGCCCCCGTTTCTCAGCCACAGCTTTTCTCTTAAGAAAGGGCTTTTGCTGCACCGTGTTCGTGCCTGTTTCGCCTGTGGACTGATCTACAGCACATCTGTGCCGCTGTCACCTTCCCTACTTGTAAAGCTGACCGACTTAACCACCAGCTCTTCCACCCCAGGCCTCCCCCTGCGCTCA